ACCAGGATCTTCAGCGTCTGAATAATCTGAGACTAACAAAAGGCGGAAACAAACTCGCAGTATCCTTGCTCCCGCGCCCCGTCCGCATAACCTGAACCCAAGACAGTCTTCCAGACCAGAATCTTTAGCGTCGAAATAACCGGAGACTAATGAAAAATGCGCGGTCAACTCACCTGTCCTTCCGCCCCCGCGCACCGTCCACATGTTCAAAACTCAAGATAGTCTCGTGGAACCAAAATTTTAGCACTGAATAACACGCCTAACAGAAAAGTGGAACAAAAATGCGCGATCAGCTCACTTGTCCTTCCTCCCGCGCACCGTCCTCGTGCCCGCCCGCCACACCGCGTCCATCATGGTGCTGTACGAGATCCGATCGCGCTGGAGGCCCCGCACCGACATTTCCTCAAACAGCGCCTCCACCAGAGGGTAATCCCCCGAGAACTTGGTGACGACGCTCATGGCGGCATTGTACATGTTGGTTGTGGGGGGGTGGCGGCTCTCGCGCATCGCGTTGAACACCGCGAGGGCGGCCTCGTAGCGGTGGTGTCGGTGCAGGCCGAAAAACACCTGGGGGGGGAGGATATTTTCATAAACGAAACTTGCCTTTCTCCGGCCCGAGTCAGGGTCAAGATGTTGCAGCAGCAGTCTGCAATGTAATAGGTGCGACAATAGTCGGACTTTGAGGACATACCCAGTTCTTGGCCAATTTGTCAGAAGTCGAACACTTTGTCAAGAACAAGATATGGTTCTTGCGATTGAGAGGGCCCGAGTTTGACGTCATCTAAGACGTGGTATCGTCCCATATCTTCCCATCTGTCAACCCAGCGCCGAAGACCAGCCCAAAAAGCTCAGGCACTCTCTCGTGAACGTCGACTCGCCCATACTTGCAATGGTAAACTCTGGAAACACAACTCGATTCCAAGCCCCACAGACCTAGACCTTACAAGCGGAAGCCCTCTACTCCATCATATATCCGACACACCTTGTCCACTTTGTTACCACTCATCAACAAAGGCGTTCGCCAATCACAAGCACCCCCAAACCCAAGACGTGGCCAAACCCTGAAGCATGCATGAGCTCAAAACTTACCCTGGCGTATGTTGTCTCATCCGGCTCGTACCCAGCCCTTGGCAAGTATGCCAGCACCGCTTCCATTTGGCGACACCACCCCCCTCGCGCAAGCAGCTTTATGACCTCGTTCCAATACTCTAGGTTCATCTTCTCGATCACCCCGCTCGGCACGATCCTTTCTACCGCCGACTCTAGTTCTCCGACATCCCGCCCCACGTCTCGCAACGCCCTCGCGGCCTCCAGAACCAGCGGCTCCTGCACCTCACTTTTCTGGTTTTTGACCCAGGGGCCCCGCGGCCTGCCGTTTCTGCCCCCCTGAGAGGAGTCCTCTGCTCCGGGGGGGCGATTGCGTGCTGAGCGCCAGTGGGGGGGAGAGTCTTTTCGGACTGTGCCAGCCGTGGAAGCGTGCCTGTGGTTCGTGGCCCCCGAAGTGGACGCCTCCCCAGCCCTCAGCAGCCGGCTGCTGACGTCAGCGACCGCCTCGTCGCCCTCAGCATTGCGCTCCCGCTTCGGGTTTTGCGATGGGAGTTGACTCCGGAGGGGGACGTTCTTTTGAGACTCGCTCAACAGCTCCGTAGTGGAAGCAGCCCAAGGCGCCACCCTCGACCGACTTTTCAAAGATGATGTCAGCATCTCGGCGCCACTGTCCGATGACATCAGCGGGCTACCAGGTTCGGCTGCCCCCGGCGCCCCAACCCCATTCTCCCTCGTACCTTTCCGCGCCGCCCGCCGTTCGGCGCTGGACAGCTGGCGCCCTTGCTGACCTTGGCCCGCTGGCTGCTGACCTCGTTCCTCACCCTGTTCAACCACCACCACCCCATCGGACTCTGAACCCAGCTCCGCCTCTAGTTCTGTCGGGCTGCCCCGTTTCGCAATTCCTCGCTTCGTCTCCAGCTGCGCTTCTGTTCTGTCCGAAAAGTTCAGACGCCCAGTGTCCGCCACCCTTCTCCACTCGGACTCCGCTTCTCCTTCAGAACCTTTGCTTGCGAGAACCTGCGTCTTCGAACCCTCAAGTGATCCTCTGTCTTCCAGCTGCTGATCTTGCAAGATTAGGGTTTCGGAGTCTTGGCTGAGGCCCGTCGAATCAGATGTACTCGATTCCGGGCGCAGGAATTGGGGAGGGGTGATGGAAGGGCTTTTTGCGCTAAGGCCTCGTTGGCCTTGTCCCCTCCTCTTACCGCGCGGCCTGCCGGCTCCATCGTCCAAGATGACGTCAGCGAGACCGTTATCAAGCTGCTCCAGAATCCGCCGGGCGGCACCCTTGACATCGGAGCTCCCGCCGCTGACGTCATCACCAGCTTCGCTCGCATCATCATCCCGACCACCGTTAACAGCCCCTGAAGCAACCTGGCCCCCAGCTTTCTTGGATGTGACTCGAGCTGATCGGTCGACCTGAGGTCTGTTCCCAGGCTCAGAATCTGACTTCAATTCTGAAGGAGACAGAATGGCAGCCCTGGGGCCCTGTACACTCCACCGGGGCCTCCGCCTCAGTCCACAATGAGGCCCAAGTGAAAACGACGGCTGGAACAGGGCCTTTCTTCCAATCTGGTGGTGGGAGGGCAGATTGCAGGGAGGGCTGCAAAGGCCAACACTTTGCAGCAAAGTCTGCGATCCTGCCATTGCAAAGTCGACCAATTCAATCCTTTCGACTGAAAATGAAACAGTTTACCCCGTCCTTGTATGGTCCTACGCATTGCTACACATTGTTGGCTTACATACTCTCGAATCCAGTATAGTAACTCCTAGTGAGAAGAGCCTGCAATTGGTTCACCTCAAGAGAGAAGTAGCACCAAGACTCCCTTAGACAAGACCGCAGTACCGCTTTTACAAGCACCGAGCTGCCGCATCACCACGCTCAGGCCAATGCCGCCTTTATAGCTCCTCTGAGCTCGTATTCACCTTTTTCTCATTTTGTCTTCATCCTCCTCCCTCCTTTGACATTGATTACCTAAGAGAGCGACAGGGTCTCCGGATTGTCAAGGTATTTTCGCTGCCACTTTGAACAGCCACTAGAATCGACTTTCAGAAAAGGCTGACCTTGAAGCCAACTTCAAGACAGTCACTGTCGCAGCTGAACTGTGAACAGTGAACGGCTTGAAGTTGCAAGAAGGAAGTTGTTTTCTTGCATACGGGTACATATATTCAGATATATTACCTTTTGTTCCCACGAAACGAGCTTTTTCCACATCGCTGACCCAAGACTGTATGTTCGATAATATTAGACCCCGTGTGCTGGTTTGACCGGCGACAGGCTCTCCATCGAAGAATTTGAATGTACGGTGTACCTGTTTAAAAATCTGGGTTTCTATAACGAACAGTCGCTCAGGGGGGTATATAAGGAACCGGTGCTCATATAAGCGCAGCGACAACCACTTTCCCTGTTCAACATGTTGAGTGTTGAACAGACCTGGACATCTGTTTCCGAGTGCAGTCTGTTTCGGCACTAGCTTCAATAAACCTCACTGCTCAAGAGGATAAACTTTGCACAGGACTTAGGAAGGCGCAATGGCGGTTGCTCAAGCCTGTGTGCGGGTTCCCTTTTCTCCGCTGCAGTTACCCAGAGTCTCTTGCGAGTGCGGGCCGTCCTCAAGCAAGAGCTTGGTTTTCCGGGGCACAAGAAGCAGTCAAATTGCACACAATGTAGGATCAACACACACTATCTCACACGAGGCGCTTCGCAATGCAGTCCCTGTTCAAAGGTCGCAGGGCGGAGCCAGGTCAAGAGGAGTTCGGGCTTCAGGAATGTCAGTCAGTTTTGGGGGAGGGGAGAAGCACGAGGCAAAGTTTCAGAAGGGCGATAAAGTGAAGGTTTCTCAATCGGCGATCGTGTATCATGTTCCAAAGACGCCGGAGCTAGACTTGCAAAACTTGGAAGGGGAGGTGGCCGACGTGTTGTATGAATTCAAGGGAAAGCCAATCTCAGCCAACCTGCCCTACAAGGTTAAGTTCCAGAAAGAGGGCAAGCCATTTTTTGCGCATCTAAGAGAAGACGAGATTGAGCTAGCAAGCTAGACTGTACATTTATTTTGAATTACCGAAATCTCCAACTTTCCAGCACATATGTGCACTTTGTAATGTGGCCATTTTAAAGGCGAGTATGTGATCTGAAGCGGGCCAATCTTGAATGGACGCAGGCAATCTCATTTTGGCTGAGGCATGCGTTTGCGACACCTCAAACTTGGTAATGGTCGCAGTGAAAAGCAAGTGGCTACTGCATTGTGCCGCTCTTGGAATCATGCCGGACATCTGCCTGATCATTGTGCCGCCAGTTTCAATGGCTGCTTTTCTTTGAAAGAAGCGCAGAGGGCCCTCAAGGCAAAACTCCAGAAGGTGTTATTGTTCTGCTTTGAAATGTGCTGACTTGACAGGATCGAACGCATCGCTTTGTGATGATTTGTGCATCTGGTTTCTGCGTTTGCTTGCCTTTCAGCGTCTTTGTTAAAGGGAGGTTTGTAGTCAATTCAAGGCAGTCTTTGGAAGAATGCAATTCATTACCCGTGGAGTAATGGCATACTGTAATTGCCACATCTGTTCAAAAGTGCAACACTCCAGGGGCTGCATCCAATCAGTAAGTCAGCGGATTGCTGACCTACACATGAACTTGCAGTTTGCAACGTTTGTCCATCCAAGGGGACTGGCTGGTGGTTGTCCTCTCTTCTTACATCAAAGCCTTAGCAGAAGCCAGGTTTCGCCCCGGATTTGGCCATGAAGATTCCAGGAGTATGTGTACTCATAACAGGGCTTGTTGTGACAAAGCACTTGCAGGGAGACTGCAAAGCACGTTCCTGAACTTTGTTTTCATGTTCCTGAGTGTATGGTTCAGCTTGTGCTCTGGTTGGCCCTGCTCTTCTGAAAACAGAGTCCAAGGACGTGCTCTGCATGTGCCGCACGTTGTCTCGACTGCAGTGCTTCTTGCTATATTGTGGTGACCAGTTGTGACCAGGTGAGAGCCTGCATTGCTTTGTTTTGAGGGAAGGCCAACTCGTCTTGTATACATCCGCGACTGTTTGAATGAGCTTGAGAGACCAGAACAAAGAATCTCCCTCCAACCACGAGGAAACATCGCGTTCGTTACAGATTGAATTGAAACAGTAGCTTGCAGTCCATGCATGAAACATACTTACAATGATCAGTGCCAGGACCGTCGTAATACTGTATATGAGGGTACGTACTCAAATCTGGCAACAGACTCCAGGCTCAGGCCATGCGCGTATGTATGCGGCCCGGCTGCTCAGCATCAGGGCCGGCCAAAACACAGTAATGACAATGCGTGCGGCGGCCCATGCACAGGCGAGGCCGATTATTCACATGATGGGATCGGCATCTGAAAAGTTATGCAGCATGGCAGCTCATGCATTGGTTCAACCAATCAGACGGCGGGCCCGCGGCTGCCCATGCATGTAGCCATGTCTTCCATGTGCATATACGACACAGTGGGTTCAAAGTGCAATGCATGCATTCAACAACCATTGAAATTGTTGGGTGGCTCAATTGCCCGGCCTTGTGATAGGTTTGCAAGTCGCCACATACCGGCGATGATGTTGAAAGTCGTGTGCATGATATAAGATCACCCGAAGCAGCCACATCACTGACGGCTGTGGTTCCATCATCTTATTCACGGCCACAATCTAGCTGGACGACAAAGATCTAAAAGGAGTCACCTCGCCAGGGCATATGCTTAAGATTAGTAGCTCATCGACTGCTGACATGCTTCCAGGACATAAGTGGAAGCATGGGGTTATTCATCCCTAGTCTTAAAAGAATCTTCAGAGGACCTCAGTACCGACAGTTCGCACCGGATTGTACGATAGAAGATCTAATCCTCTGCTGCATCCCCGTACTTTTTCATAAGGCTAGCAATATCATCTTCGCCGTCGTCTCCTTCATCCCCTTCTTCCTCCTCGTACTCGCTGCCATCCTCTTCCTCACCAGCATCCGCATAATCGCCTTCCTCAGCATCGGCATCTGCAAACGATGCAAAACTTATGTAAATACCAGTTACCCTGATTTGGGTCAACTGCTGCCTATGGTGCAAGCAGAGCACGGACAAAAGGCCTTTCTTCTTGAAGCGCTGGATTTCAACAAGACATATTCGTAGGTCGATTCCATCAAAGGCATACCCAGCACCATCTCGTTATGGTTGCCAGCGAGAGCATAAGGCGCAGGCACGTCCAGGATTCCATCTTATTAGCAAGCCATTCCCAGCATTGAAACTGCCTTAACTCGAAGCAGCCACAGATTGGAAGTGGACCCATCGGCTGTAGAGAGGTCCGAAAGTCGTCGCTCACCCATATTCGCCTCTTCGTCTTCCCCGCCGTTGGCATCCTCGGCGCCAATATCGTCCCCGCCGCCCTCCGCCGCCTCGTCCCGCGTGCTCTCTTGCACCTCTTCCGCATTCGCTTCCCCCGAGTTCCCCGCTTCCCTCGGCGAGGCAGCCAAGCCCGCCCGGTTCAGCTTTACCGGGGCTGGCCGCTTCCCTTCCCTAGCCGCACTGTCCGGCTCTGCTCTCCCGGCCTCTTCAATCTCCCGTGCACGTTTCTTGGCCGCGCGGATCTCAGCTAGGGTGAGGATCCTCGGACCGTCCTTCTTCTCCGCAACTTTCTCGTTCGCGTCCGGACCTCTCACGGACCCACTGGTCGCTCGTATCCGTCTGTTAGACCCATCCAACTCAACCAGCTCCCGCATCCGCGCCCCCTCCCCTGATCGCTCTGGCGCACCATACCCCCCGGAACCTTTCGTCTCGCCGGGCACTCCCTTCTCCTTTTGCTGCTCAAGCCACCTCCGCCGCGCCTCGGCTCCAAACTTGCGCGGGCCTCCGTTCTCGTCCTCGGCCGAAACTTCGACGGCCCTCGCCGGTCTCGCTACTTCTGGCCGGTGGACGACTGGCTGCTCGCCTTGGTTCCGGTTCCGGCCCCAGCGATCCGCCCCCTTGGCCAGCGAGGCCCGTTGAAGATCCACGACCAGCCGTTCCCGCTGACTGTCCTGAGCGTCGACCCGTGCTTGGACTCGCAGATGGCTGCCCTGATTTGCGCCTGTATGGGGATAATCTGCCAATTATGGACGGCAGGAGGGTTCAATGACCGCTTGATGGGTAGTTGCACATTGCTCGCGGTTATAGCCGGCCTTCTCCGAATATTCCACTGGTTTTCCCCACATTCCAATAACCTGCGGCAAACCGCCGGAGCTTGTGACTGTCCAAGTTCGCAGATTTTATCTACTGACAGCTCGCGCCAACTCTTCGGAAGTCAAGCACGGCGTTTTAAAAGTGTAACCCAACGCTTCCGAACGCCGAGCTCAACTGGTCCTTAACCGCGCTCTCCAGAAATAACTAGGTGGCAACCCCGGAGCAATGCTAAAGAGCTGTTGAAGTCAAAAGATGGCCGCTCCCTACTAAGCTCACGCTCCGGATGGTCTTCTTGTCCTGATGGACGTTTGGCAGATCATACTGAAGGCAACCTGTTCCGTTGATGTGACCAGATACAAGGGCCTTCAGACCTAGATGCAGTTTGGGGAAGGGCTGAACTCGTTTGCAAACATGGCCAGAGAGCTCAGAGCGCGCGTGCACAGAGCATCCCATCCTCTGACCCGGTGATACGACGAGGTGCTAAAGCAAGGCAGGACGATCCATACTACAACCTTCTCGCAAGACTGGAAAGAACCATGGAACACACAGCCAAGCTCCGACAATCACCTCCGCCCAATCGGTCCTTCACGCTCGGACTTGTGGTCGCGACGACCCTCCTCGGCGCCCCTCGATCCCCCATCTCCTCTCTGCCTCCTCCAACTCTCCTCCTTCCTAATCTATCCTCCATGTGCGTTACTCGAGATTCCCCTCGGTTCTCCCCTCGGTTTTCACCTCGGTTCTCCCGGCCTGTCTCCCAATTTTCCCGGACTATCTGACGGACCGCGGGCTCTGGCCTAGCAACGCTTCTAATGGTTTCTCCTGCCCTCCCGACGGACGTCCGCACATCCCAAATAGGCCCCCTGCGAGCTTTGCTAGGCGTGCTTTTCCGGCGGTCGGAGCCCGGAGCGGCGGCGTCTGCTTCCTCGTCCTCCTCATCAAACTGCAGAACCATGTTCTCCTGACCAGGAGACGGTTCCGCCGCGGCCTGCATCAAACAGGGAATTATGAGCTTTCGGGATCGAACTTACTGAACAAGCAGAGGAGACGAGAGATACAAGCACTGGCTTTCAATGCTTTCTCCCAAGGCCTTTCGTACGGTCAGCGTGCAAACTGTTAAGTTATCGGCTCAGGAAGAAGGTGGCGTCGAGGAGGGTGGCGTTGAGATCTGTGACCTTTTCCACATGCACCGCCATGAGGAGGCCATGAATAAAGCGTCCGCGAGCGACCACTTCCTACAAGAGTTATGTTTGAAGGTGCATCCTCGACACAGCACGTGAATGGAAACAGCATATGAACAGGGCACAATCTCGTGCTTGAAGCTTCTGCACAGAAAACCAATCGTACCTGTGCCTGTGCTCGCCAAGAAAGTTTTCTCCGGCCAGCGTCAGCAGCCCCCGCTTCCGCTGGCACTTGTCCGCCTTGCAAAAGTTCACCCTCCTCTGCAGCCGCATTGAACAAAATATGATGACTCTGTGTGCCACAAGTAGGTACGGGCAACAGTTCACAGATTGACAGCAGGCAACAAACAAGGAGCCAAGCTGAAAGCTTGCAGGAATGGCCACAAGAAAGAACGCGTAAACTGTGGCAAGGACTGCGTTTGCGGAATGGCCACAAAATACATCAGTACCACATGTTCTGTGCCTTCATCCAGAAGAAGAGCAGTACTAGGGGGTTGATGGGATGCATCTGTGCCTGCAATAAGTAAACACTGTCCAAAACTCCTGGACTCCTGGAAAAGCGTATACTGACCTGCGACAGCACCTCCGGCGATGTCAACCGAATTAACAGCTGATGCTGCTAGTGTCATGGAGTGTGAATAGGGACAAGCGTCCCCTTTCATGCACTTGCCCTGTGCATAGAATACGCACGGAACGGTGGAAGGGTCCACTGTTGGGGCCCGTGGCATCCCATAGGCTCCGTAGTTCTGAGCCTGCATGAGACATCAAATTCTTAATGCATTCATCTACCGTTGACTGAGAAACCTCTCACGATTTTCTCTGAGCTTGGATGTCTGAGCAAGTCGGATTCTCCTTGCAAGTTCTCCCCGACAGTGCCGTTTGAGTTAGACAAGCTCTCAGCTTTCATCACCTTTCGTCACCAGACAAGAAGTGTATGGAAGCCAGCAATGCCAAACAAGCAAACAACTTTCTCCAGCTTGTTACTCTGCTGATGCAGGTAATCAGGTGTCCAGACAAAGAAGGCAGACGCCGACTCGTATGCAAAGACAGACGCCGACTCGTATGCAACGAATCGACCAATAGAGGAAAGTTGTGACAGGCAACTCACGAGGTGTCGGAAAGGACAAGCAGGGCCCTTGGCGCAGCGGCCATTGAACCAGAAAGCGCAGTCTTTCACAGCTGGATTGAGGGCCAGGGGGTTGTGTCGAAACTCGCACTCAGTATCGCCCTGCAGCGGCACCGCAAAGGAGACGCTCTTACAAAGTTCCAAAGCCAAATGCTGCAGACCTCAAGCAATTAGGTCGGGCGACAATTGTCCACCTCGAAATTAAAGCCGAAGCAAAGTGCATCAGTGCCATTGAAAGGTACCCAGTGCCAAAGCAGTGCCAGAGCTCCCAACATACGGATATGCAGCCAGAGACAGTTATGAACCGCACTGGCAACTAGTAATGGAGTTGAATAGTGCCAAGATTTAGACAAGGAGACAGATCATAAATTGCAAAACGAAACATGAAGACGCACCTTTTTGCAGTTGCCTTGCAGGTAAAACGTGCAGTCCGTGCTCTTGCGGAGCGTGATGGGAATCGCCATCTCAAATAAATAACCTGTAAGATGGAGAAGTCGGTCACCTCTCTGGCTTCATTGACACCTCACCTCTGTCTAGCTCCTTACACCGGCCTGGACCAATGAGTCGATTTTGGACCAGCAGCCGTTTGGAAACCCTAATCGATAGCTTTCAAGAAATCTGACGTGATGAAACTGTTTGAGAAGGAGGATATCTGAGACTAGGGACGCAAACAATGAGATTTGGAAGCCTGCCAGAGAACATCCACAGATGTTTTCTGATGGCTTATTGGTAGGAGGCGCTAAAAGCCATGTATGCCTCTTATGCGCCACTTCTCGCAACCGGAATTCAGTGATACCCGTAGTGGGCAGGACAAGAGCTGCAACTAAACATCTCAAAGGATGTCTCGCCCTCACTCCCTCAAATCACACAGCTTAGCGCCCCGAGATAAGCACCAGGATCTCACAAACAATGCCAAAAGGTATGGCACTATGACAGGCACCATGCTTCCCATTACCACCTTCTCCAAGCAATTCGAAGCGCAAACGCCTCCACAAACTCACCAGCTTTGATCTTGTTAACCGCCCGCTCCACGCTTGCAATTGGTCTATCCTTTTTTGCGGTAACTGGCAGGTCAAGACTACCTCCCCATGAAGCTTACACATCAAAGAAAGACCAAGCTCTCCAAGCGTCCAACGCCGCTGAGAAAATTGGCCGCCTCCTCAGCTAGCGGCGCCTCGACTTGCTGATGATTCTCACGTGCAATGTTTTGTATGCTCTGTCAGAGCTTGCATTGATGAATATAAGCATTGGCAAATGAGCATTTGATCTTAGCAAAGCGTTTCCAACAACCGAGCAGGCATAAGTGCACGTACAACGTATACGCAGTCAAGGTAGTCTCATAATACTGCCCGGTATAAGCGCCGGGTATAGAAGCATATCCGCGCAGATTAGGGGCAAAAACAGCGGGAGTGCTCTGTTTATTAAATGCAATCTCGCTTGAGCGAGTGCAGCCAGAGGGCGCAAGCACCCAGGCAAAATAATTGAGCTCCAGTCGCGAGCAGACCATAGGGGCTCCACCGCGGGGGCGTCCACAGAATTTTGCAGGCGTCTTATATGGTCCTTTAGCAACATTTGGCACCGGTTTTTGGGTCCGTCCGGCCGGTGGAGCCTCTGGTGTCATTTGAAGAGTGGACCCTTGTCTGCTTTTACCAGCTAGAACCCCTTTTTTTGGCTGTTGAGAAACATGGTCAGCTAGCACCAAAATTTGGCGGAAACCTTTTCAGAGCATCAATGAACATATTGGAGCACTTTCGAACTTCTGGGCACCTGAGAATGCAAGGACCCGTCCACTTACAATTCTGAGGTATAAAAGTGAAAATCTGAGGGACAAACTTTAGGTCCGATGATAATCCCCGATTGGCGGACAAATCGGGCCTATGACACAATTGGAATCCAGTGTCCCAGAGTCACAGGGAAGCCCCGGGCATACGCTAAAACAAAAAGGACCTGCCCGGTTGCTAGTTGCAATGGTGTAACCCTAAAGCGGGAAGGCCCGATTGTCTTAGGGAAGTGCCCGGTTGTTACCCGGTTGCCCGCGAGACCCTAATGTCACAGGGAGGGCCCGGTTGCTCCCCGGGCGGTGTGCGAGACCCTAATGCTAGTGGACTTGCCAGGGGAGCAGGGGAGTGGTGGTAGCACCCGGGGCAACCCGTCGCGAACCACCATCCCACCCCCTCCAATAAGGAGCGCCGCCCTTATGTACTGCAATTCAGACGGTCGCGGCGAGCAACTTTGTGGGTCGACACGGTCGCATCGAGCACGGTCGATATCGAATTGTGCATTGCCGATCGGACGGTGCGCAATGCAGCGGCGGTGCCACCCCTTTTGTCAAGTGTCATAGGCCCGATTTGTCCGCCAATCGGGGATTATCATCGGATTGGCACCATTTGAAATGGAAAATGGTGGTGGTCCAAATCCATCTTCTAATCGCCCTTCAACAAGGCTTTGAAGGCATATGGAACAGCGTGCTTCAACACGGTGCTTCCACCACTGAGGAGGGTTCTCTGTGGATCGGAGGTGCTTCTGCCACTAGAAGCGAGAGGGTCGTCGTGAATGCAAGGTTTGCGGAATCCTACTCCCCAAATGTCAGAAGCGACGTCTTGGATCCGCTGAAACCGCACCCTTCCATCTCCAGAAAGCAGCACACTATCGATTCCTCTGCCTTTCTGCAATTTCACTAGCCCAACCATGATTCTCTTACGAATTCCTAGGCTTGCAAACGTTGCGCTTGACTACGGAACCCGTAGATTAGCACGGAGGCCTGCCTCCTGTCTTTCCTGTCAGTCAGACAAGCGAGAAAGTGAAAGCTATGGCAAAATGGATATGCAGAGAGGGCAAGTTAGGCATGGGTTGCAAGAACCAGGATTTTGCAGTGGCAGCAACAAATGTTGGGCACCAACAGAATTAGATCCAGCTCACGAGCAAACGTCGGAGGCCACAGTTCGTGCACATAAGGTGGTGCAGTCTCTGCAACCAGGCTTGGGGCAGCTGGACCAGAAGCTGTGGGCGAGGGTCCCTCTTATGTTGGGAAGTGACACACTGGGTAGCTGGTTCAAAGTGGGTGGCCATCGCAAGAAGGCCACAAACGCGAGTGTAAGGCTTTCCCTGACCCTGGGGCTTATCATCTGCAAACTTTTGTTTAGATGCTTGTTCCTTACTCTGTCCTTGATGGATTCACATGTAACGAGGATGATATATTCTATGGGGATGTTCAGGCTAGCACTATCTCAGGGTTCCTTGTCTTTTCTTAAGTCGGGTTTCAATTGGTGATGATGCTTAACCGAGAGTCTGTCTGTCACATAAAGTCCTCCACCGTGCCCATAATTTTGATCTGCCTGGCCACTAGTTGCCGCTTGTCGCGATGAATAATAAATCCGTAGTGTTGACAGCATCAAGTCCTTGAGATGTTGGGAACCTTGACTTGCACTCCATAGAGTTTCTGTGACCTGCATGCGATGATGATATAAGACCACATAATTGCAAGCCTGAGGCACAGTGAAGGTATCCAGGTTGTCCGACGCTTCTGATCTGGAGAAAGGCTTCCATGCCTGATGGTAGCCATGTTGAGTCCCTCGATTCGTTATACTAATTTGATAGCCTCATTGCAGGTTGGTGCTCTTGCGGACCAAACGAAGACGTGCGTCAGCTGTGGCCAATCCAAGCAGCTCAGGGACTTCGCAACGACTGTGAGCAGCCCCGATGGTCGCCAGATTCTTTGTCGAGCTTGTAAGGAAGAGTTCCTTTGCAAGCGGTGGGGCAAGCCGTTCCATTTGGGGCTGTCACTTGAAGAGTCACGTGATGCTGCAAAAGTCTGTTCGATATGCCGTGTGAAGAAGGAGCTTCGAGACTTCAGCTTCCGGAGTCGTGCAAAGGGTACCCTGAGAAAGAGCTGTAGAGCATGTGTTCATGACAAAAACAAAACGAAGGTCGCGGTTGTTACGCAAGATGAGCAGATATGCGCAAGCTGCTTGATAGTGAAGCCCGCAGATGCTTTCTGGAAGGATCGGCTGGCAAAGTCTGGGCTCAATCGGGATTGCAAAGAGTGCTTTCGGAAGAAGGAGATAGAACGACGCATAGCTTTGAGCTCTACTAGACAGGACTTTCCCTGGCGAACATCCGGGCAGAAGATCTGCCCACATTGCAAACAGGAGAAGGATCGGGGACACTTCAGTCCAAGTCGACAAGATGCAGATGGATTAGCCAGATGGTGCAGGGCTTTTGCAAAAGAATATGTACAAGTGAACAGGAGGAAACAGAGAGACACGCTTATCAGTGAAGGTTGATATCATCTCACGATGGTCGGACCTGGCCGAGCGCTCGGCAATTCATTGTTGCTTCAGGAAGCACAGTCATGCGCCTTGTGCATCGAAAGCATGAGCTCGCGGGCCCACCAGATGTCCTCATGAGCCTGATTTATGCAACATGACGTCAGATTCAGATGTAGCAGCTGAATTGAAAATCAAGTTTTGCTGCGTGCTGATACATGCACGTACAGGCCACACGTGGTGATTTAGGCCACCGTTTTAAATCCGGGGCGCAGCTGAGTCTGCAACAATCCAAGATTCTCAAACTTACGCATGCAATTTTGCATATGGCCGCATGCAATATCCATGCTTCGTATGATAAATCTGTCACTATGCGTCTTGCATTGCAATGTACGCAGTCATGCATGCAGTGAGCGCCCGTCAGAGCGTGTCGGCAGACTCGGACCCGGCCATGCAATCAAATTGCACTACTGAGCTGCTGATAGCAACCCCATACATAATTGGATCGGACAGAGCTAAACATGTGCCTAGTGATTGTGAGTATAAGATCGAGCAAGCATGCAGGACCTAAGATCGCTGATGTGACGGATTCGATGGTCTGTAATAATACTGGCAGGAACTTGATGGAATGCCCGGCAAGCTGTGCGGACAAGATGGCATCTCTCACTCTCTTGGTCGTGTGACCGATCACGAGCCGGCCACAAAATTCCTACACCCTGGAAAAGTCTGCCAACACACAAAAGACTAAGCCGGCAAGCCAACACAGGGCTGCAGCTTTCATGTGCAATCTGCACTGTCGAGTGACCAAAGCATCTGCTTTTATGCCGGCAATCTGATACTGCGACTCTTTCTCACTTGAGTGTGCCCTGAAACGTTTTCTTACGCTGCACCTAGTCCTTCCGAAGCTTTGACTCTCGAGCCGCGGGCCCGAGTCGCTCGCGGACGCTGTCTGCGAATCTGTGACTGTGCTTGACTGCTTGCGAGTACAGCTCCCGCAGGTGCGCTTCGTACTTCTGAACAGCAGGGGGGAGGATGAAGGCAACACAAACAGCTGCACGCACAAGGTATGATACGCATTTCAAAATTCCGGAACGAGAAAGGCTAAAGCGGATTGGCGTCAACGGACCTCAATAAAAAAGTTTACCCTTGAAACCGGACGGGCTTCTTCTGAAGTGACTTCCTACAATACTCCAAGGAGTGACCTGCGAAGTTACTAGTTGTGCGACATCGTGCTAAGCTTCTCGTCCGAGAGCTGGGAGTGCCACGACGCCCCACGAGCGTCAATCTCACGAAGGAGAATCGTTCATGGCTACGGCCGTGAGCCACCCTGGACTGAAATCTGCGGAACGCAGCAGATCCGTATGACTATTGCACTTTTCCTCTTGTGTTCGCTTCCATCTACAGAAAGAAGGGCAGTGTGTAACTTGAGTATTGGACTGAACCCCGGCCTTTGACAGGGAGTCGCCAATAACGCAGCAAGAGACCGGCTTTTTGCCGCCGATACAGGCCGTGTTCGACTGAGAATGCCGAGGAAAGTGCCCTCATTATTTCAGAGCCCTTTCAAGTTCCATTTGACCACCCGTTGAGCAAATGTTTGGCCATCTTTTTCAAAGAAAGAGACTGAGAGTCTGGGCAGGCACGTGGCGTATCTCGGGCCCCTTAACCTCGCACCCAAGATATTGTTTCGTACGGAGTGTACGATAGTCCCCACGAAGGCGGTAAGTAATTTATATCGTCGATTTCCGCGATTCGCGCCTAACGAGTTGCAGACTGGCCGCGCACCAGCTTGGGTGCGAGTTTCAAGGTGCCCGAGTGTGCCTGAGTGTCTGCAAGAAGCTCTAGACCGTACCTGCTGTGACGAGTGTACGGAAGTCGCAGAGGGACCCCAGCCACCGGAGCACCAAGAGTGCACCAAAAATCTGCAGCACGGATGTGGACTTCACCAGCTGAGTGAAAGGGCTTTCGTGACGTCGTCACGTCCGAGGAGAACCAACAGCTCTTGGCAGGTGGCCCTGTGACGTCACTTACGTCCTGGAGAGTTTGTCGAAGGAAGTCCGCGACCCTTGGTGCTGGTAGCTCCTTTAGCGAGCTTCAGAGCTTTTGTTCGGCTGGGGCCTAGACGTAGTGCTATAAGCGTTGGACACCCGGGGTGCTCGCAGCAGCGGAGTTTGCGACAGTTCATCCCCGCAACGCCACCCAGACTCTGGTCAACGGTCGGGCTTTGAAAGTCGACGGATAAACGCTGTATCGCTTTGACGATCTGACCCCGTACCACTACTAGTACCATAGGTTTACAGGCTTATCAGAAATTTGGCCGACGACTTGTACACGCAGGAACCAAAAGCTAGCCCCAACCTGGAGAACGGCCATACGTTCTCGCGAGTTTGACTTCTGATTCCGTACCACTATCATCACAGTCCGTATCTAGCACTCGACACGCCTGTCAAACACACTGCCTGCATAAAGCTGACGAGCATACAGCTGACAATTGGATAACGTAAGAGTCAAAAGCGAAGCCCACCTTGGAAAATGTCACGACGTCTTTTTCGTGGATGGTAGCGTGGAGCACAGCCGCGGCCGCATTAAAGGCGTCCGCGGCCGGGCGCACGAGCGCGTCCGCCATAGCGTCCGAAACCTCCAGGGTTTGGAAGTCGGGTATCCGTACCGGCCGCCCAACGCTGCAGAAAAAGAGCCAACCTGTGATTGATATCGCGTCTGGTTGGAAATAGCGGACGAAAGATGTTGCGCCTGATTTTCGGAGAGACATAAGCATTCTTCATGACGAACCACTGATGGAAATTCTCTTTGCACACCTTGTTGGAGATAGGATCTTTGTCCAGCCCTTCGTACCGGGATCCATCGACCACTATCAGAACGCGCCTAATGAAACATCTGAGCTCGGGCATGCAGGAGTAACGCTTCCTCTAGGATGGGTCCAGAAAAACTCGAGCATTTGAAACGAGTTCGCTTCGTCGACTGACGAATGTCACGAAGCACGTCAGCAGCCGCAGAATGCCTCTCACCCCTTTCTAGAGCGGCTTCGAGTACTTGAGCCCCTGCCTGTTGCTGAAAGCACGACCTTGATAGTAAAAGAAGCCGGAGGGTCCACCAGGATCGTGCAAGTTAATCTGGTAACTCCCATTTCACTCAAGAGCAATTTCACTCAAGATAGGCGCACGGGTAGGGTTGGTATGGTGGTTAGGGTGGGTTTTGGTGCGGAGCGGGTAATCCTGTCGGTTAGGGTTTTTGGTTTGTGAGCCCGGGTACCTCGGATATTAAGTGAGATGGCTCTTTGAATGAAACGGTTGTTACCAGTATGTGCAAGTTATAACCACAGAATCACACCATTACTGGGGGCATGCCACGTGGCACACTTACATGGAGGACGCAACCGAGATAAGGTGCGCCACGAACGTCGCGCTGACGATCCACAGCAGCAAGTTCGCCAACAGGTTGACGAGGTTGGTGGGCGACCAAAGGAAGTGGTACAGCAGAAACAGGGTCGCCGAGAACAGAGCGGCACTTTTCAGGGGGCTCCGCCAAAGGACGAGGTCCGCCAAAGCGCCCCCCCCTAGAGCGCGCCGGGTGGGAGTGTCAATTCGTTGGAGCTCCTGTTTGTCAAAGACCTGTACGGTGAGAGATGAAAAAGCCGTTGTTTTGAATTGCTGAAACGGCAGGTATTGAGGGTGTGCCGCATGCAGACTGTGACGTCAGCAGCAGAACATCTCCACAAAGGAAGAGAGAAAGTACAAGCTAGCTTTACAACGACCAATCACCGCACAAGCCTGCTGCTGATGGGGCTGACAATCGGAAACAAGCGCAACCATATAAGAAGACAACGCTCAACCGACCCCATTCGACTCCGTCCTTCGTGCACCCAATTTTTGGACACGAGTCGTCCTAAAGTGGGATCCTGAAACCTGACCCGAAGCTCCTCGGACCTCTCTAACCATCGGTCCCATCCCCGTCCAAACCCCATCGCAGTCGAAACACGGATGAGCCCCCATTGCCCAAATTCTGAAATTGACCCCACACATTAAAACCTGACAACTTCTTACTATCCACGAAACGTAGAACCCAATTCTTCAACGAGGTTTAACCACCATTGACGCTCCCGGTATACGACCTTGTACTCACCTCTTTCCGTAGGTCCGGTCGTGCCTCGATCGCCCTCCGGATCCCCTCCTTGAGCGGTACCACCGGTTCGTATCCCAACAACTTGCGCGCGCGCTCGACGTTGTAGTAGCGGGAGGCGATTGCCAGACGGATGCGGGACGGTGTGAATGCGGTCTCGAGCGGGCGTTTCAACACCGGTCCGAGCACCTTGTTCAGGAGCTCAAGTAAGTGGTGGACGGCAACGGCGAGGAGAAGGAGCGGCTTTGCGGGGAGAACATACTTGTGCCTGCAAAAGATTGTGTTGGTTGCGTGGTTGACAGAAAGGCGGCAAGATCAGTAGACCCCGTGTGGACTTAAGTAGAAACCACGTGGCTGAACTCGAGAGAAGAATAGACTACCAGATTTCTGCGCATTCTGGAGAAACGGGATTGGTCAGACAACTTGGAAGCGACTTCCGCATTGGTCTCAGCATGCAACGATAGAGGAGCATGCAAAAGCAGAAACAGTCATTCGAGCTCGTAGCATTCCACAAAATAAGCGCCGTATGCACCCCGGAAGTGGTAAGGCCTGAAGTGTGAAAACAACAACGGGAACGTTCCCCTTGTGACAGGAAGGGAAAAAGAATAAAGAATGCGTCGACACTCATCGGTTGAGAAGACGGCGGGTTAAAAGGGAGAGGCGATCACAAAGTGCTTACTTGGGATAGCCCAAGCCCCCCACGAGATCGAACGTCATGGTCCAAAACGGATACGGCTCGCCATTGCTGATGAAGAATGCCTGCGGGAGGAGCGCTCTAAGAAATGAGTGGAAAGATTACCTTTCCTCAAAACCTTCAGAGAAGGGCGACAAAAGTCCCGGGTATCCGCATGGAACTATGAGTGCGACAACGCGCTCCGAGCAAAGGACGGCTGCAGTGCGCAGAGCGCTGGACACCCTGCAACAAAGGATGGCTCCGTCGCTAAATTATCAGGCATTGGAAGCAAGTTCTACTTACAATCTGCGCTGTCAGCTCGTTCCGACGGTATGCGAACATGCTTCAGCTGCTTCTAATGATCGACCGACCACACAGAATAGAGCTAACTTTAGATTCGCACGAGAAGGCGGCAGTCAACCTTGAGTTTCGGGTTTTGACAGAGTCCCTAATACGAAAGAATCAACAGAACGTGACAGTGGACCGGCATCCACAACCAAGGCGGAAATCGCCCTTTCCCCGCAGCTTCGCTTCTCTCTTTCAGGTTCCGGCCCAAGCAGAAGTGTCGGTGGACTTTATTGCCAAAGAAGTTTTTGTTCGTTAGTAGCATAACCTCCAGGGGATTGACATAAAGAAAGGGAGTCACAACAGACATCGACTGGAATCCCCTACCCTTCGTTGCGGCTTTCTTTTTTCTCCCCCTCAGAGTCCGCTCAAAGGGATGTTTCTCCTTGCTTCCCTCCTTCAGGCCCTTCCCCGCTAACAGGTGCATGTTCCCTGTTCCTGCCAAATGATCTTACAACCCTAGCAGCCTTGGTAATCACAGCATGGAAAAGAACCAGAAGTCCTTACCTTCCCAGCAGCCTCGCTCCCCTCTTTCAGCGCCTTCTCCGCGCACTGATGTCCATGCACGACGTTATCGATGTACGTAAAGTCCCACAGGTTCTTCCCGTCGCCCACAATGCTGCTCAGCTTCCCCGCTTGCGCCAGGGCCACCATATTTGGAATCATGGCCTTGTCGCCCGGTCCGAATATTCCGGACGGGCGGACGGCCACCGTCAGGAGCCCATTCACACCGTTCGCCTTGAGCACGAGTTGCTCGGCTTGGGCTTTAGTGTGGGTGTAGTGGTCAAGGGGCTGTGAAGAAGCAAGAGGACTCTCAGGCCAAACTACTTGAATGATTTCTGTTCAGGTTCAGAGGGTCAGAGGGTCAAGGGGCTGTGAAGGAGAAAGAGGACTTTCAGGCCGAAGTGCCCAGATAATTCCGAGGTTCAGAGGATTTGGCGGCTTGATGAAAAGTTCACACCGTTTGCCATTTTCAGCACCGCTGCTCTTTAAGAGTTCATGGCTTGGATATAGAGATCAAGGGGCTGAACGGAACGGCTTCACAGGCATTCGGTGTTTTGGGAAGTCCGGAACCGAATTTCCAGTACTCAAAGTAGCAGATCGTGTGGAACCCATTTACGCTACTACCTTTTAAGCCTGGACAGGCACAAGTTCCTATACTGCGTTACTCAAGTCGGCCGAGAAGGCGGATGCTTCAAGCTGCGTATTCATGGAGAACCGATGCTAACAAACTCATAGACACATAATACGACCTTGGGGCTTGAAACTAGAGTCTAAGAAGGGGAAACGGCTGTTCGAACCTTGGTCATGACCACACCCAGCGAACAGTCAGAATTGCGTTAAGAGCCTAAACCTATCCATGTTTTGCACTTTCAACAGCCCCGTGCCATCAAACCTCGCAAAAAGTGTCGAAGACATTCACCTTCTTTGGGTATGGCATAGACTCGTCCCCGCCCGCGATGCCCGTTCCGTCGAACACAACGCTGGCGGAGCTCGTAAAGACGAACTTCTTCACGCCGCTCTGCGCCGCCGCATCCAGCAAGAACCGAGTCCCTGTCAAGGCAAGACACCTCTGAATGTTCTTGTCTTCTCGTCGGTGTTCATCAACTTCAGTTTTCTCTGGACGAACGAAGGCCTCCCTAAATGCCCATACTTGAACGATGCTGAGAGTTGCAGACTTGGCTCCAAGTCACCCTCCAATCGGGCCTTTAAATTCCAAAAACTGATCGTTCGAAAGTAATCACGGAATGCACATCGGGGAAGTTTTGCAAGGTCCTTGCAACCTCGTGCTCCGCTGAAACCTGGACAAGTGTGATCCACATCATTTCGCGAACATCTCCGGTGCAACGAAACGCCCAAGAGGGAGCCAGCTTGCAACCAATCAAAGGTGATCAAAAGTGAGCAACTTGGCTGCTCTCAATTGCTGTGCAGTCTGCGGAAGGGGAGCCCACGAACATATTTTTCAGGCCAACTCTATCTTGACTTCAAGTTAGTAGTAAGCACAGAAGAACAATTCGTGCAACCTGTCGCAGTTGAGGTCGCTTTGTATAAAGCAATTTGTGTCGTGCAGGCGCACATAATCAGGAGGCCCGTTTTTCCGGCCCGTTTTTGGAAACTTGAAGTAAAGTGGTCTAGAAGCAAAAAAATAAGTTCGTAGCTGTGAAAGAAAAACCCTCAGAGATGAACTGCATGGATAGAGCGGCCCACCTTTGACATTGACGTCCTCAAAGAGCTGCGCGCTTTTCGCGTTGGGGTCTGGTGAGGCCACGTGGAAGATGACAGACACTCCCTGGACCGCTGTACCAATAGACACAGGAGATCAATCTTTACGCACTCCCACTTTCAGTTTCCTGACCAATCTTTGTGCTCAAAACAGAGATTCAGAGAACAATAACTCCGTTGCACTTCCTTGATTGTGTTCAAGGAGAAGCTTTGTCAACTTTTAAAGAGACTGCAGAAGCTGCTGCAAGTCGTCTGATAACAAAATGGGCGCAAAACCAAGCCCGATATGTCCAATTGGGAACCACCTAGTGCATGTTCTAAGGCCCTCAGAATATATTTTGAAGCAGCTGTAACAAGAAACTCCTTGGTATGAGCCTTTGCTGTGGACTGAGTCAGAAAGTTTGTAAAGGCAGAGACTTAATATCCGGCCTTAAGACTGCCAGTTGAAGCCGGCCTACTAAATGGCTAATTAAAGGATACATGCACTGTCCAGCCTTAAGACTGCCAGTTGGAGCCCAACTACGAAAGGGCGGATTTTTAGTTGTAAGCAATGAAAATAGTACCCACTCCTGCATGATTCTGGACATAGTCAACTACAATCGACTCGGCTCTGCCTTACTCCCTGCAGTGAGACCAAGAAACTTCATATAACAAAGTACTGGCGAAGCATCTCACCAGCAACTACTTGCTCCTTCTTTCGCAAGTCGCCGCAGATGTACTTGATACTCCCATTGGCGAGCCCCTCAGAAACCAATTGCACATCCTTGATTTGATTGTCGGGCCGGAACTGTGGCGCTATGTCAAGGATAACCACCTTCCAAGTCCCATCTTTAACGAGCTTGGTAATCAGGTTCTGACCCACGAACCCGTTGCCCCCAGTCACCAGACAGACCTGGGGGGGAAGGTGGAGGAATGAGAGGTCGAAAGGAGGCTCTGAGGTGAGCTTTCTTTCTTCTTCAATCTGTTCTTCTTTCTTAAGACCGTTCTGTTCTTCTTAATTCCTGTTCCAGTGAAGGTGGTCTGCATCAACAAACCACGTGTCTCCTGATACACTCAACAAGGCATTGCAAAAGGTGAAGCTGCTGCTGATCTGTCTTTCTTCATGCTATGGAGCCCCTTGAACAGTCTACTGCTTGGAGAAAGTCCACTAGTCTCTAGCATTGATTGTTTCAACCTCTCACTGGTTGACTGAAAGAAGCCATGGGATGGTGTCCTTTTGGATATTGCAACAGGATCAAGCAAGCCAGTCTGTCAGACTGGCCCGTCGATGGAAGGCCAATTTGAGTACAGCACACCGTTGGTCTGGTGCTCTGTGCTTCATGTAAGCAAGGGCTTGGCCACCACTGGATTCGAGGAGTCCCTCACTGGTGCTGATTCTATGAAAGACAAGCGCCTCTATTTGAAACCATAACGAGCAACCAGAAAATGTTGGGACCTCACCGTCTTCTCTTGAGGAGCCGCCATCCCCAGCCACCACCTGCTGAAAGTATCTCCCGCAAGCAAGCGGCAATGAAGGATGTGGTTGCACAGAAAACTCAGATCTGCAGACACTGTTGCAGCGTCAGAAGGGCAATTGGCAACCCAATGCAATGCAAGCTGGAGTTCAGCACTACGTTCTAAGTGAAGCACCTACAATGCGCGCTTGGCACACTTGGACTTAGTGCCACCATCAAGAGAGGAACTGAGCTCAAGCAGATCCACTCGGTCTAGATCTGCAAAGTGGTGCAAACAGGAGCAGACAACATTGACCGAATATACTCTGATCAGACTAGCTATGCTCTGTAATGACGGAGAGATGTCGCCACCATGTGTTAAAATCATTCAGTTCTCTTTCATCGGTTTCGTGACCTGGTTGAGATCAGCCCTTTGCCCTATCCGCTGCGTCTCAACAGCACATGCCAACTCAAAAAAATGCATTCATCCTCAAGACTTCTCTAATGAGCAAGGGAAGCAACAGACTAAGCCTCACCAAATGCACCAAAGCGCCAGCTGCTCGCGCTTCACAATTCAGGTTCCACAGACGGAGAGGCAACTTAGTCTCGTGCAAAGAAGGCCAGCAGAGTTGTGGACGGCCCCTTCAATCTTAGGAGACAAAGGCCTCTGCCAGCGCAACAGGAGCCTAGGAAGGTGTTCAAAAGCTGTTCAAATGCACAGCTGAGGAGCACACGCATGGCCGCCTTGACAATGACAATGGTATGCAAGCTAGAATCGAGATCTGACGACATTTCGACATTTAGATCAGAGATTGAAGATCGAAATATGGTCGTCGAAACAGGCTCACAAAGCAAAGGTCAGAATCGTGCATTCTTCCTCCCTGCCGTGCTGAACTTCTTAAAGCCGCTTTCATCCTTGTCGTTCTGCGGCATGGTTCGATTCGGCTTGCAAAATTGACCTGAAAACTGCGCAAATTATCGCAAACCTGGGGAAAGAGGAGATGAGCGGAGGCCTGGCACATCATAGGTAGGTACATGCATTCACCTTGTCGAAGAGCTCTTACCACCATCACCATCAGGGTAGAGAAGCAGCACCACCTTTTGAAAAGGGCAGTCACCGGCAACTAGGATACTTTTCTTCCGGGACGGGGACAGCGGCAGTAACAATGGAGGGGCACCGGAAGAAGCGGCGAAAAGTGGGGTTAGGTGATGATGAAGAAGCCACAGGCGATACTGTAAGATCAAATGGCATGGACACGGTCGATGTGCAGAAGCTGGAAAGGGCAGCACCCAAGGTAACTGGGCCGCAGGGAGGCATTAGCTCCAACTGGATGAAGATGAAAGCGGTAAGGCTTTAGGCTTCTGTTAGTGTTCCTTATTGCAAAAGCCTCATGGGCCAGTTGAATATCAGGAAACACCTTGAGTTTGGGATATCATGGGGTTGAATAACGAGGACTTCTGATGCAGCATTCTAAGAAGTACTAAGGATTCTCAGCATGAAAGCATGAGAGTTTCACCAGCCTGCTGATGTGGTGGTGGTAAACAACACTCCACTTGAAGGCATGTTGGACATGTAGTAGTCTACTGGCTTTCGCTGTATTGTTTTCTTGAATCCTTCAAGATTCTGAATCTGCTTATCGCATACTTTTCATGTGAAGGAGATTGCCAGCTCCGGTCGGCAGAAACGAGGTTCCCACCCCCGTGCCACCAGTCTTCAAGCTGCCGCCAAGGTGGTGCAACAAGTCGCAGGTACGTCAAAACTTCGAGGCAGATAGTTTGCCAGACACAGTCCACCTGAGAGCTAGCTTTTTGCTTCCGTACGATTTTGGATCAGGGCTCTAGGGGGGGCCATCAACGCTTTGCGCTTGCTTTCATTGGTCATATACGAACGATTGAGAAAGCTTCTTGAGTCAGGAACTGACCAGTGTTGCTCTTATTGCAGAAGATGAGAAGGTGGGAAGTCCGCAGCCCCTAGGAAAAGACATGGGGTGAGCCCCTTTTCAAGTTTGGCTATTATTCATGTTCATCAAGTAATGGCGTCCAGTCGCAAATTACTTGCTCAACAGCATCACACAGGCCTCTCTGAATGGCTCCAAGTTATCTTGCGACAACAAACAACGCTGCTGACATCGTTGTACCTCGCCCATCTGCTTTCCCCCGAGGTTATGTTTCGCTTCTGCTCCTTATCCTGGTGATTCTCCTCAGGCCGACGAAGGTGGTCGCCATGGATTGCGAAATGGTCGGCGTGGGAGATGACGGGGTGCGGAGCATCTTGGCAAGGGTGTGCCTGGTATGAGCACCAGAGCGTCCCTTCCCTCCCCCATCTCTGTTGTTCGTTTGTCTCATTCAGTGTTCTTCCCGCTGCCCTTCTTTGGGATTTCTTGATCATTTTCGTTCCAGGAGTAAGTAGTATTTCTGGTGCACGGCCATATCACGATGATTTCTAAAATTTTCGAATGCTGGTGACTGTGCAATACTGCAGCTCAGGAGCCTGAAGCCCTTCACAAACGTTGCCATTTTGTATTCGCCACCAGGTGAATGCCCATGGAAACGTGTTGTACGACAAGCACGTGCAGCCGCTCGAGCGTGTCACAGATTACCGGACACACGTCAGCGGGGTGCGGGCCAAGGACCTCAAGAAGACTGCCGGTCAGTGCTTGCGTGCAGCACTGTTTCTCACGGAGGGATGTCCGTTCAGGACCACACTCCGCTTTCTTATCTCAAGCTTTATTTCAGGCCCTTGGAGAGAATAATAATCCACCTTTTCCTTTCAAGCTCTCGTCAGCACCTTTGAGTACAGTTCAGTATCCCGGGTTTCAATCTGTGTCTCCCTTATGGCTTTCAGTCGATCTCGCGACATCGAGACTGCGTTTGAAAGGTGACACTTTAGGTAGGCAGGTCACAGAAATCGAAATATCGAAGTGGAGTCCGCTTTTGCAGAAGTGAGGCAAACGCTCGTGGGGGTTCTTGCCCTGGGCATCTTGTTCTAGGGATACAAGTATGTCATTTGAAGCAGTCTCGAGCTTGTCTTTTCGAGCTTCATCAGTGCAGCCAGCGAACGGGGTCTTGTTGCTCTGCAGAGGAGTTCTTCCAGGTTCAGAAGGAGGTCGCTGCGCTTCTCAAGGATCGAATCGTCGTCGGCCACGCGTTGCAGAATGACATGCAGGTAGGTTTCTGGGAAGTTTTATGCAGCTTGCTGAAGCCATGACTTGTTGTCAGATTGTTCTTGTTGGCTTCTGCTAATAGAGCTCCGCAATCATAAGTCTCCTTCGAAGCTCGACATGCGGAAGGTGTTTCCAATTGTGGTTGTGTTGTTGACAAAGAAGCGACGTTTGACACACCCGATCTGACAAGCTTCGTCTTGGCAGCCTGCCATCTCAATGAACTACACATGCTTGTGCGGACAAAGACTCTCTCAGCGAACTGCACGTGCGTATGCGTCCAAAGCCTCTCTCAACGATTGCACGTGCGTATGCGTACAGAGACTCGGTTTGAGCAGACTGCAGCTGAAAAATATTAGACTCAGACATACCACAGCTCATATGCACTATCTTTGGGCTCGTTTGTTGAGCTCAAAAGCTCGGCTGGCTTTGCAAGTCCCGCTTTGTTCCAAGCAGGACGTCGCCTAGCCTGACAGGGAGGCTCAAAATGGATCGAGATCTTAAAGCAAGGCCCAGCTTGCTCGATTGACGATGGGCCATCCTCTTACGGGTCTGTCACAGTCTGGCCCAACGGAAATGGATTCGATGGCTACGAAAGCGGATGTCGGCTTTTCCCGTTTTCCAAATGAAGGGGCTCTTTGAGAAGGCTCTATTAGGTTCTCTGAATTTTTGCCCAGGTTGCGTTTGGTCTAAGCCAGTACGTCCTTTTGCGCAGGCCCTCCTTCTTAGCCACCCGAAGCGGTTCATACGAGACACCTCAAAATACGCGCCTCTAAGGTAAGCGCCCGTCCCCAATCCAAGAGCACAGCCCTCTCCAGAATGCTCGGCGGGCCCCAGAGTCCTGGAACATCACGCTTTCGTGCGCGATCGAAAGATGGAACTTGGTCCTTGTTATCAGACAAGCAGAAACGCTTGTCTGATACGAAACAGCAAAACGCTGTCGTTTTCACTTCGTGTTGGCGACTTGGGAACAGCTTGAGGTTCAAGGATGCTTCTGAGCACTATCAGCATTTACGAATCGTTACGTGCTTGCAGCAGAAAGCCCACAACCCTTCTTGGTATCCTCTTACCTGAGTCCTGTTCGTGCTTGGAGTCGTGGTCGATTGGGTCGAGACTTTGTCTAGTACTTGAGATCAACGGGCAGCTCGGTGGCTACTTGGACATTGCAGCATTTGCTCTTTGCAATCTTGAAACCTGCACCAATTGTGTTTTGCCATCTTGAAACCTCGAACCTTCAAGTCCCGAGAATTCTGGTCGTGCAGGAAGCACGGCCGGCCGCGCGCGCTTCGCCACCTAGCAGAGGAGATCCTGGGATTGCGTATCCAGGCCGGCGAGCATTCTCCGGTGAGTAACGCAGCTTGCACGTCTCGGAACAGACCGCAGCAGCAAGTCTGCGGCTCCGTACAATTCAATTTGGAAGCTTTTTGAGGAGACGTCTTCCCTAATCCTTTCCCCTTTATTGGCGTCATGTGTGCAAGCGAGGCTGCTGCAGATTACGCACCAAGTTTCGTAAGAGGTGCTTGTCGTGGGTACTGTCGTCAGTATCCATGTAGTTCATCTGCCCCAAAGAAACTCCACCCTTTCTCCGTACAAATTGTATAAGATTAATGTTTCAGATGTCACCAATGTCCATTGTGAAGTGGGGTGCAAGGCGGTGTCCTTGCCCATGCTGCCACGCTCCGATTGGCCGCCGCTGTTTGTACACCTGACAGGGCGCTCCGCAATATGGTGCGCAGCAAAGGGTCCCTGCTTCGCCAAGGATTGTAAATATCCCCTTTGTTTTCTGACAGGTCGACGATGCTCGAGCTGCACTCTACATCTATCTGAAATTCAAAAAGGACTGGGAGCAGAGTCTTCTGCCCAAGAAGCAGAAAAGGATACAAGCTCCAGAAAAGACTCCTGCCAAATCCGAAAAAAGATAGTAAAGATGACGTATGGTTCACTTGCAGCACACATTGCAGTAGCCTGCGTTGTGCAGCTGGCAAAGCGGTCTACGACCGTTTTGCACATGCTTGAATTTCGTCGCCGATGCATGCTGGTTTTGATCCTCTTATCCTGTCATAAGCACATTGTTGGCGCATATATTTTCGCACATGCTAGTATATATGTAGCAAGCGCTGCCGCATGGAAATTGGTCGGATGCACGTGCGAGTGAGCTTCCAGATCATCGATGCCGTTTTATGACTAGGCCGCATCAAGTCGGGCATGCGACCACATACAAAAATGTTCCATATATTCTGCACATGAACCCCAGCGCCAAGGTACCTAACAATATCAATGGCACATGTCGTGAACCTAGTGATCGTCATTTGATTCTTAAGCAATGAAACTGTACACAACCTCGCAAAGTCGGATGCTCAGTATACATTACACACCTAGCTCGACTCGCCCCAGTGTGTATAGGGTCCGACACTGCCAGCATCATTGTCTGTTGGCGCACCACCATATTGTGTGGAAACGGTACACTTGGTCTAATTGAGGCCTACTTCATGTACGCGGCGGCCTACCCGATGCAAGAGTTGCTTAGGTCCCTCAAAAGAGCGTTTTGCGATGCAGTTGCTTATGCACAGCAACACTTCGTGACAAGCACTTGATCACCTACCTTGACGGGCATGCAACTCAATTACCCATATACTCTCACAATGAACTGATCATTCAGTGTCTCTTTAAGATCTACATAGATATACATACCTGTTACCAACCTGCGCCACTTACCCCGGGGTCTTCCAGCCGACAGCACCTGTTCATCGCTCATGACAAGGAAACTGCTTGTTTACATGACCACCACTTGTGAAGTCTCGACTATTGTACCGTCACTCATCTACTTGTGCGAGCTCGCTTTCTGGGTCTTATTCCGGAACGAGCGACATCAAGAAGCAAATCGGGCTTCTGTTTGAGCAACTCGAGCCCCTCGTCGGGGAGGTCGTGAAAGTTGCTGACGATAAGCCGCTTTGAGATATCGACCAATTCTTGCAATCCGTGCAGCGTCCCCGCGCAATACAAGTCGCACACGTTCTCCAATGACAGCTGCAGAATTGAAAAGGTTGAAAGAGCATCAATCCAAATCTTCTGTAAACATTATACAGCCCAACCTGGTGCAAGCGCCAGAAGTCGAGGAAGTCGAAGCAGGCACGAAGAGGACAATACTTGATTTATAGTGGGAAGTGGACTTGGTACCTTTGTTCTTAATAAGCCCGTTCAAGTGCGTATTGATTTCTGCAGAGACCGGCGAAATGTGGGTCATGGGCCCGTACTTCCATGTTCCAAAACCCGTACTCCATAGACTGCGTCCGGTTCACACGTATGCACAGCTCTGAAAATTGGTACTCTACGAAGTGGGCTTTGGATACTTGCCAAAGTGCAAACGTGGGTTTGCTCAGTGCTTCAGTATGGTGTTCATATGCGTCCAAGAGATAAAGTGAATACACGCAGCGGTCACGTTGGACATTACCGACAAAACCGACCCATACTGGACACATGCGGACTAAGCTGTCCAGACCTGTTCGAGAAGTGTCTGCCGAACTTACCCGTTGAAGAAGCTCCTCCTCACACAGCTTCTTCAGGGCTCCACAAAGGTACTCGTCTGCCATCACGAGAAGCGCCAGAACCGCTGCTGTGGTGGAGGGCATGTCGACCTGCCAAACGGAGAAGAGCATCCGGATGGTCTCGGTGCAATTTCGGCAACACCCTTTTGTAGATATGAATCATGATCAGCTTTCACAAAATTACAAGATTTGAGCTAAGCTGAAGTACCAATCTGCTGGGAACTGCTTCCAATCGTTAGTGAACCCTGCATGACTGGATGTCAGAACCCAGAAGCTGGACGCATGAGAATCCTGAACGTTAACAGAACTAGGTCGTCACAAGTTGCTCGGAACCATAAATCAGGTCAGCCAAGGACCATCTCAGAATGGCAGCCGGGGACTCATGCGGGCTTCTTATCCTTAATGTGGACTTCTGTAGCATGGACCCCATTATTCGTCACCAACTTATCGCAGCTGCGTGGGAGTGCAAACCAGAAAGACGCTCTCCTTGACTTGCGCCCTTGTGCGAAGACTGGGAAAAGAGAACCAATGTCACTTCATCAACAAAAATGGCTCTCGCCGACGTAGCCACCTCAGCATGATCATTGCAGATAGCTGTTCCGAAAGGCCTGCAAAAAGCTGTGGAGACCAAACTCACCTTATTCGTGTACAGGTAGCTTAGGAGAAGTTTGAAGACTGGCGCCTCTTGAGTAGGCAGCTTAAAGTGGGCGTATGCACTCGCGAGTGCACCTGGGCATCGGACGGTTAATCGTCCAAGTTAAATCTATCGGACGGCTCAGAGCTCGCCTTCTCGAGGCTCTCCTCAGGACTCAGACTCACTAGTGTGCATTTCCCGGCTTTGAAATCCGACGCCCACTTTAACCTCTGCCGCGCTGGATTCAGAGAATTGTCCAGAGAAGAGGCCCTCGAACTTTGGGGAGCGGGACGCCAAGATGCATCGGTGGGCGCAGATGCGCTCGCGCTCTGGTCCAACCTGGCCAGGAGGAGGAAGCAATTGGCCGTCAGCGGAACCCCATTTTCAACCGCCTCCGACTTTGTTCTCATATCTGTATCCTGGGCCATGCACATCCTGCTCGACAAAATGAAGGACAAACCCATGCAGAGAGGTTTAAGCGCATGTGTGTCGTAGATGAATTGCAGGTTGCCCGTCCCTAATGCTATGAAGTCCCGCACTTGTGCAATAAAAGACCTCTTACCTCGAGGGTGACATCACTCAGATGCGCACTGAATAACAATCTGCTGAGGTCGGCCCCCACGGAATCTACTCCTTTCGTTGGAGCTGTCACAAACTGCTCGCATTGGTAAACAAATAGCCGATCCCCATCCTCCAATCCAATGCTTGAGCAGCCGTCAAGTGGATGGACTCGCTTGCCCTCATACGTCTTGAACATGACGCTCCTGGGCCCGGACCAGATCATACTGCACAAGCCCATGAATGGGTTTATATGTGTGCTCATGAGAGCTTTCTTTATGTGACCACTTTCGAAGCAATGCACTGTAGCAGAATTCTGGGCACACTGATGAGTCGCAAGTAGAGCTTTGAATGGCGAGATCCATTCTCCTTACTAACACCAGGTTTAAAAGGGCACCCCGTTCTGTCATAAAATTCAGCTTGGAGAGGACAACAGCCAAGAAGCTTAGAAGCAGGTATGTCGCTTGTACAACATGATACCTTGGGGCATGTGTGCATCAAACTTTTGGCCTACCAAGATTAACTGATCAGTACATGTGTGACTCCACTGTAGATTGAATACTGGACCATGTCACCACCACATCCAGTAGCAAAGGGAAAGAGAAAGAAAAGTGAATTGCTGTTGAGACAATCAAACACTAGTACAACTTACTCTATCGCAATAAGCACGGAACAATTTATGAAATGTCGTCTACTTTTTGGTCCTGAAAAATACTTCGCGCCCATCCGGAACTGCCAGCTTTAAAACGATACGAGACATCAGCTCGTCTGTATCTTTTGTGTAGGATAGATCTTCACGGGAAAAAACAGAGATGTTGATATGTTCATCGTCCGTCGCCATTTTGCTGTCGGTTGCACCTGACACCTTAGCAACCTGCTGCTTTCAAAGGGTTGACAGTGTCCAGTGTGAGAGCTTGCATATATGCATCACCACGCAGCCAATGATCAGGAAGCTGAAGGAATGGATTCTTTGCAGACAACGTGACGGTGAAGAAGACAGGACGGGACAGGGACCTCCTTGCCGCCTCGTTTGGAATCTAGGTAACATTGAGGTAGGTAGCCCCAGCAAAGCTAAAAGGTA